TGTGGGGCCGGACGCCCCGCCCCTCCGGCTGCCGGCGGGAGCGTCACGGCCTGGCTGGCTCGAGGGAAGATGCTCTCCGCAGCTCACCCAGGTGTCCCATCCCAGGTAACGCAGGGACCAAAGCGGGGCCCACAGATAAAACACGGTGTGCACGTGGTCTGGGCACCAAGGGTCCCGTGCTTTGCCGGACGTGCTGCGGAGCCCGCGGCACGTCCTACGTGAATGCCTGTATAAAAGCATTGGCACGCGGCTTTCTGGCGTGGGTCTTTTCAGGCGATGCAAATGGCATGTGCGCAAGTTCATGGCTGCAAAATCCTCGGTGCATTGCCTGCTTTTCCATGCATCGTCCATCACCCGGCTGTTTTGGAGCGGGGTGCATGGTCCAAACCCTCAGGCTCTGTGCCCAAACCACCTTCTCCCAGGTTTCTGCTCCCTGTTAGCAGATGGAGACTCCCAATCTCAAAGGTCTGAGCTGCAGCTTTGCGGCAAGCTCGCGTCCGAGGCAAAAGCTCTCCCCAGGGCGAACGTGTTTCGCCCTCGCGGAGGTTTGCAATTTGCACTAAAATCGGGGTGTCTTCCAGCAGCGTCCTCTGCTCTCAGCAGTGTCGGAGCCCGCTAGCCTGTACCACCAGGAACTCTGCGAAAGGCGTGAATCCATGGAGATTAGAGGGTTGGGTTGTTGGGTTTTTTTTTTCCCTCTCTCTCTCTCTCTTTCTTTCCATAATGCCATTCAGGGCCTGGAAAGGCTATCTCTGTTTCCCCGAACCAGTCCATCTCCCGAGCACTGCTATGCAAATTGGTCAGTGCTTTTGCAGGCAACGTTAGGACTCGGATGAGCGGGAGCTCCGGGGGTAAGAGGCTGCCGTGGGCTTGCGGGGCTGTTTTAGGAGAGGCAAAAAGAGGGAGGAATGGTTAACTGATTTCTGTGATTAAATAAGAATCAGCTCAGAATTTGTCTGTGCAATAGTCTTGGTTTCACTGTCTCCTTTTTTTGCAGGTAGGGATTTTTTTTTAAAGCAACATTTTGGGGGCGGGGGAGAAACAGTTTCTGTCTGTGAATATTTTCCACAAATACGTTGCTAATCTCCAGCTGATATTTAGCCTAGGGATGGAAACGAGTTTGCTCCTAGTCCGGCCGCGTAGGAACGAAAAACTTGAAACGCTGCTGCCTTAGCTCCCAGGCGAAGCGGCGCTGGGGAGCGGCGCAGATGGCGTCAGCCAGATCGCAGCTGCTTCGCTTTTGCTGGAAAAACCCAAAATCCGCATCTTGACAGGCAGGAGCCGCTGAGCTACCCCCACCTCAGCAGCAGATTTGGTGCCTGCAGATGTGGTGCATCCCGCACCCGGCGGGGCGGGCAACGGCACGGCTCGCGCCGGCAGCCTCCGAAAGACGCGTTTCCCCAACA